TGAGCCCCATTCTACTTTGGGCACAGTTGTTTGAAAGACATTTAAAATGAGAGAGAAACTGAAGCAAATGAGGAAACACAACATCTGATTTTTGCTGTCTGGAGACAATCACCCCATTGAGTATGAATTAGTCAAAACCTTCAGGGGAAAATAATTAATACTCTGTTAATCTACAAAATTTTAGATAAATGAGTTACCATTAATATTTAAGTTCTTTGAGCTTAAAATGTCCAATTATCCTGTTACACATTTTGAAGGCATACTTGTAGCCTTTCTAGATACAAAAATTTACCTTATTGCTTAAGTTCAGTTGCCTTTTTTGTTCTCAAGGTCAACCCTTTTGATCCCTTTGCCATTTTGGGCTGTGGCCTCATGAGGTATATCCTCATGCAGTATATCAAGTATATACTAGGCCAAGTATATCCACGGTGCTAGTTTTTGTATTAGAATCTTCCAGATCAATATAATATAATATAACAGCAGAAAACTGTCCCTGACTTTTTTGTAAACATTTGCATACTAATAGTGGTTCACTTTATGCTCACTGGGGAGGCTGATACTCAGATTTGATTGAATAACGTTTCTGTTTTCCTGAAGAGTATTTTGAAACCCTTTAATATGGTAGGCACTCTATATCTTACAATCTTTTATCAATGATCTGCAATCAGATGTTGCAAAAGCATCTTTAAATAAATGTCAGGATCAACATAACTGTAGTGAACAATAATAGAAGTCTGAAACACAATTCTGGTAAGAAAGATTTGAGTGATGAAAGGACAGGAAGCCATCTACATTTAAGTTGGTTTTTATTTGATAATTTTTTAATTACAGTGTTTATGGTCAGTTTTGAAAACAAGATTACCCTTATCAGTCTAGTAACTGATGAAGTTATTTTTGTTTTATTCTCTGATATGGTAATTTTTTATTTTCTTTCACTTTTAGGAGTACAGTTGCTTGCCCTTCTCGTTCCCACTCTGATCTCCTATTTACTGAATGAAAATGCCTTTGCTTCTGCATCTGCAGCATCTAAGGATCTTCACGAGTTTGCACTTCAGAATCTAATGCACATTGGTCCACTTTACCCACATGCTTTCAAGACAGTAATGGGAGCTGCTCCTGAATTAAAAACACGTCTAGAAACTGCGGTACGAGCAAGCCAGGCCAGCAAAGCAAAAGCAGCTGCTAGGCAACCACCACCCACAGTACATTCCACCCCAACAATTAAACTGAAAACTAGCTTTTTTTGAATTACTTTTATTATTTTTGGACCATTAAGTAGTCAGAAGCATTACATTATCCCTGCATACATGTCTAATTTTGTGTAATTTGTATGTGAAAGGCTGTCTAATGGAGCTTTGTGTAATTACTTGAAATCCATGCATTACAAGGGAAGTGGTGTTACTTGTATTTGTATAGATTTTTAGGAAATTGTGATCATATTTATGAATTTCTGTTATAAATTATCCACTAAAAGATTATTCTAAATCTAAATACTTTTATTTATTTTTAAAAGCTCCCCCAAACCCTCCACTGGTTTTTGAAATCTGATGATTGTTATCCTACCACTGTGCCAATGCTCTAGCACAGTGGGGACGGAGGGAAGAAGAAAAACTGTTATGAAATACTTACCCTGTACTGTGGGGAATTTCAAGTGTAAAAGTATGCATTTTTTCCTTTTAAAAACAAAGTAAGGAAGGGGATTGTCAGACTTTGTAGATCATTTCAGCTTGCATGAAAAAAAACACACAACAAAAGAATTGAAAATTTTCAGCCTTTCTCAAGGTGAACGATCAAGCATGCTGTCTTAATGAGTTGTCCTTATTTATGTGGTGTATATTGCTTTCAAATTAGTTTCCATGCTTGAAAATAAATAAAGGATGCAAAGAATCTAATCCCCTATCTCTTCTAAGATAAATTTTAAGGGAATGCATTGGAAATTGAGTTTATAAAGAGAACTGCCTGCTATCTGCATTTTTGTAGGTGTAGATTTTGGCCGTTGTAAGGTGCTCTGTGTTTGCAGTCTTCCTGTTCTGCCAGCCACTGGTTGAGTATGTGATGAGTCAGTGCTCTGCCCTTTGTCCAGACTCATATTTAACCTTGCTGCAAGATTTTAGTCTCAGTGAATATATCATACCTGTAGTCCTTGATAAAGTTTGCAAGCAGAATTACTGGAGCCCTTTGAACCTGTACTGACTCAGGGGGCAGAATACAAGTGAAAGTCAGGCTCCTCCAGTTTTGACTTCCTCTACCAGGCTTTTCTTTTTCGAAAAGCACATGACTCCCCTTGAATCTGGGTGAGTCTGGTCTGCAGATTTTGGAGCCTAGAGCTCAAGAGCTGTGATTCCCAATGTCTGTCTGCTGCCAGGCCTCACCCTTCCTATTGGCAGAAGTGCGGAACCGTGTATTTTCTTGTGTATACAAGATTGACTTATGTGAATTTTTTGGCACAGCTGTTGAATTTATGGGCTTCTATAGGGATCTTTCTATATGTTTTGCTTTATAGAGAGAAGCTACATAACTAGAGGCTTCACCTAGGCCTGCTGAGTTTCATGTCTGATGTTTTTCTGGATACTCTGTAAAAACTGGGTATTTCAGATGCATCAACCTCAAATATAACAAAGGGATAGTAAATAGAATTGAACATGATTCATAGCTGGTTGAGATATTTTTGGATCACTATTTTTGCATAGTCACTTGCCTCTAGGCTTTCTATTTTCCTGTAAGACCTTATCTAATATCCCTTTGAGTACCTATGCAAAACGGTCAAGACAATGCTCTTCTGCCCTATTGTATTTGCTGTGTGCAAAATATTTAATATAAAAGCAGAAAAGCTTTTATTTCACAGTGAACATTTTAATACTAAAATGATGACACAACAAATGGTGCATCCTCTAATCTTAAAATTTTTTTCATGAAGCTGTTAACTTGTCTTGTTCCATTGTTCTATAGGCGTAATGGTATATGTGGAAGTAAAAACAATGTGCTGTTCATGAGGAGGAAAGTAGTTTCATTGCTTTTTTCATCTTAGTATGAGTAGTGGGAATTAAATTGATTAAAATATATCACTTTCTAATATATGTTTGCAGCATTACAAAGCCTTGCTTAGAAGTTCTAAATCTGTTTAGCACTGAGAGAAAGTATTATGGAAACTCTTTCAGTACAAAATTGAGCACAAACATTTTGCAAGTAAAACTAAGAAAACAAGTTTACAACCTGTTTCTTCCTCCCCACCGGATAGTCTAGTAAATAATGACTTCTTGGAATGATTTCATCTGTAATCAGGTTTTGTTTACCTTTTATCTGAGCACTTTTAAGTTTTTGTTAGACTCTATTTGACAAGATGTCTGAAAACTCAGAAAAGGAGAGGGGGGAAGGGAAGTGTAGCAATCCAGAATAACTAAGTCAGTAGAAAAAAGAGAAAAAAGTTAGCAGAAGGGAAAATGGCATTAGATTGATTTAGAGGGATAGAGAAGGGAGAGGTTTTTCTTTGTATATTGTGTGGCTGTCTACAACATGCACAACTCTCATTTGTATACATCCTCCAGTTTAGTCCTCATTTGCTTCTCCGCTTGCTCCTGATACTAAAGGTGTAACCATGTGGTTTTACATATTTTGGCATCAAATTTCATTTGATTAAAAAAACCCTGAAGTAACTTGAAATGTCCGTAGTGCTTATTGTTTGTCACTCTCCTTTTCTTATTTTTCTTTGTCAAATGCTTTTTAAATGTGCTCAGTTTCCCTTTCACATCTTTCATCTCTCTCTGCTGTTTCCTTCCTTTTTGGGTGAGCCTTGTTCTACTCCAGTAGCACTCGCCCTCTTCAGTGCTTTCCCTTCAGTTCCCCTCTGCTCTCTGGAATCTTCCTTAGTCATCTTTCCCAAAGAAGTTGTCCACCAGCCACAGCTCTTAACTCCGAGGGCAGGGTTACGAAGCAGGCGAGTTCGTTTTTGGAGCAGCCAAAAGGAAACAGGAAACACAGCTTGAGTAAGCAGTGGGGCACTCCTTGCATGCCCGGGGCACGGCGAAGGGCACGAGTGGCACAAGCAGGGCCCGTTCTCAGAGCCCGCAGGAACCCCATGGAAGCTCCTTGGTGGCACGTGCCATCTGTCACACACCTGTGGTACCGCCTGTTGGAGCGGCGTGTTTGTGTCTCCAGTAAAGGCTCTGTGTTGATCTGCACATGGCATGGAAAGCAAGCCCGACTTCGTCTCTGTGCCTTGGGGAGAGGGAGAGAGGGCACTGCTGCCAACAGCCTGCGCCCTCAGCCTCACAGGATCTTGTTTTCCCTTTCCTTGTGTGGGCACAGGCAGCGTGGCCATTCCCGAAAAATTTCGTGTCGCTCCCCTTTCCAGCATTTCAAACGATGTTCAAGAAACCGCTGCAGCCTTGCGCAGGATTTACAGCTTTCGGCGGTGTGAGGCCGAGCACTGCTCGGAGCAGGGCCGAAGCAGAAAAGAAGGGGCCGAAAGAGCAGGGCCTGACCTGAGCATGCAGGACTACTGCGAGACACCGGCCCTCCCCGTGTCCTTGTCCCCGGGGTGGGCTGCGGGAGTGCCCGCGCCGTTCAGACCCCGCTCGGAGGGGGAGGTGCCCACTGCCCTGTTCTCCCGAGGCAGCAGGGGTGCCCTGTACCTGCCGCCTCTCCCGCACCCCTGCCCAGCCCCCCGGGCCCGGGGGCGCGCTGCCAGCGGCCCTGCCGGTCTCCGTCCCGTGGCTGAGGCTCAGCCGCCAGAACGCCATCCCTCGAATCAAGGGCGGTGCGGGGAGAAGGCGGCGATCGGGGAATCCTCCCCGCCATCCAGCGGAACTACATTTCCCAGGATGCCGCGGGAGGTGCGGGGCGGGCCGCTCCCCGCGCTGTCCCCGGCGGGCCGCCGTAGCGGCGGGTGGGGGTGGCTGTCAGGCGGTGACGGCGGGCGGGACGCGCCCAGGTTGTTGCTGCTGCCTCTGCTGCTGCCGCTGCCGGGACCTCCGCGGCGGGAGCGGCGGCGGGAGCCAGGCGGACCCGGCCCGGCCATGGACGAGCAAGCGGGGCCCGGCGTCTTTTTCAGCAACAACAACAACAACAACGCGCTGCTGCTGCCGCCGCCGGCGGGCGGGCCGGGGCTCGAGCCGGGCGAGGCGGCGGCAGCGGCGGCCGCCGCGGCGGCAGCGGGAGGAGGCGGCGGCGGCGGGGGGGTCGCAGCCTCCGGAGCCGCCGCGCCGCTGTCGGCGTCCCGGGCTCAGTACAGCGTGCCGGGCATCCTGCATTTCCTGCAGCACGAGTGGGGCCGCTTCGAGGCGGAGCGCGCCGAGTGGGAGGCGGAGCGGGCGGAGCTGCAGGTAACACCCGCGACCTTCCACCCCCCCGCGCCCCCGGCTCCGCCGGCCGCTCCCCCGCGGTGTCCCGCGTCCCTGCGCAGCCGGAGGAGCTCCGTCGCCCTGGGCGCTGCCTCGGCTTGTTCCTTTCCCCGGGAAGGAACGGCAGACGGGGCTATTTCGCTGCCCCCGGGGGCGGCCGCCGCCGGGCGAGGGGCGGGACGTGGCGGCCCCGGCCCGGAGCGGCCGCTCCTGCCGCCTCCCCGCAGTTCTCCGAGTGCCCCTCGGGGCCGGCAGCCCAAACTTGTCACCAGTTCCGTAACCCCGTGTTAAAACCTGCCCCCGTCGTGCCGCCGCCCCGCCGCTTGTGCCGCTGCTGCCCCCGGCTCGCAGCCCCTCGGGCCCCGGGCCTGGCCCGTGAGACCCGCTGGAGCCCCCTCGGTGCTGTGGGACGCGTTTCGTGGTGTTTTCGGTTGAAAAGCGATGGGCTTGATACGCTCATTAGTGCGTGAAAGAACTGATAGGGATCTTGTGGTTAAAGAACTTGTGAGCTGCTGGCCTAGAGCCATTGCTGTCAGATACTTCAGTGATGGGCATGTTACATGAACTCCAATAACAGTCAATAGTGCAACCTTCGTTCCTCTTTGGCGTTGTTTACTAGAAAATCTCTGTTGTAAACCTTAACACTGCCCATGTCACCAGCAGCCCACTGTTTGATTCTCATTTGGCCTTTTTTGAGACTGAAAAGTGTCTACTTGTTTTCCTTTTGAGGTCTCCTTTCTTTGTCTCTAGCTTCCTGTCCATCTCTTTTCTTTCTATGTCTTTCCTTGAAAGTACTGTCTTTGTCAGGAGAGTCTTGAGTCTGTTTAGCAATGCAAACCACTTCTGTTTTTTGTTGTGTTTTTTGGGCTTTTTTTTTTTTTAATCTTTTTAATTGTACTTTGTATGGTAATGTCAAACAACTGCTCTGAGAAGAGTGGAAGATGTGACATTCTTTGCTGAGGGTTTCCTTGTAGGAATTTAAAGAATGTGGTCATGAGGACAAGAAAGTAATTTTTATTTTAATTGCAATGGTTAAATGAGAAATTTGTTAGTAGCTGAATTATGTTTCTATTCACTACATCCAGTAAATACTATGTAGAAAGTAATTGGCTTAGCTATGTATAAGATTAACATCCAGTGGAGGCCCATATATATCTTGACATTTTTTCATAGCTAATACAGACATCAAATATTGCTTTGGAGAAAAAAAATCTATTTTACAGGACCTAAGAAATTCTGCCAGTGTGTTAAAAGTAATAACACTTTGCATATTTATAGTGCCCTTCAACAGAGGCTAGCATGCCATTCCTCCTTTTCCCCCAGGTATCTCTCAAAAGCTTGATGTTATGGATGAGACAGAAGGAAAGAAGTGGAGTATTTAAACTATTTGTCGAAGTCATGCATTATCAGTGGCAGATAACCCCATCACAAGTTGTTTGCTTGAATGCCTTTGACTCTTGCCAAAACATCTCAATAAAGTTATAATTAGCTGTGGCTGGCATTGCCACGAGCTGTAACAGCATTTATCTACTGCAGAGTCATGTTCAGGAAGGTGCAAAATTCTTGGCTCTCTCTATGGGCATCAGGCATTAAACGTCTGCTGTGACCACTTGCAGATGAATGTTCTTGGATCCATGTGAGAGGTTTGTGTTGGGGGTTCAGCAACTACAGGATGGCTTTTAGAAATTGTACATGTACACAGGAAGGATGAGTAGCATTAATTAAAGGTTCTATGCTCCTTCTGAAGCCTTTTGTTGGTCTCTTCTTGGCCAGTCTTCGCGAGCGAAGATCCGGGGAAGGTCTTTCCACCTTCCAGCCTGCGCATTGGATTTTTTAGGTGAGACACAGTGTGCGCGGAACTGAGCCCACCCTTTAATCCTAAGGTTCATCTGCCGGGGCCAAGCGAGCTTGGACGGTGGCAGCGAGGTCCTTAGGACGTAGGTGGGTTGCCTTTTTTAAGGGTTAACGAGCTCCACCTGCCCGGGAGTGGCCCTGACCGGGAATCGAACCCGGGTCTCCGCGGTGATAGCGCGGCGCCTTTACCACTGGACCACCAGGGGCTCCTGTTGGTCTATACATTTGGAAATGTTTAACAGAATAATGGAAATTTGAGGTTGGGCAGTTTCTTTCTCTTGAGGTAAAGATGCAGTGCTCCTCATTGTACTTTACTAGTCTTCTATTCCAATGCAAATTCCAGTGCTAGATTATCCACTCTCTTGGGAGGCTGTGTGTCAAAGGACCTATTTTATATGGTGGCTTTAGTATCCTATAAATTTTTCTGGCAATTCATCTAGTTTCTTAGAGGTAGCTTTCTTTTATCTCCAGTTACTTACCTGCCATAGTACTGAAATTCTTGAGACACTTTATGCCACAGTATTACTGTACTTGGCTTCTGCTCTGTAGTTTTTGGTTAGTTAAGCCGTACCCTCTCTCCAAAAACACCTTTTAAGTCAGTTGCACTGTGATTTCCTGTCTTCCTTTTCCTCTCTGGGCTTCTTTTTATTTTGCCTTTTTCTTATCCTTGTAATTCATTGTGTGGAACTAAATGTGTGTTCAGGTAGAGTACCTTTCTACTGTGTTCTGTGGTGCTTGTTCAGGTGATTACACACCCAAACTCATACCGTATGTGAATTGGCAGGCCGGACAACTTAATCTCTGCTCGTAGTTACTGGTTTACTGCCTTTCCAAGGTTTTTCTTCCCATCAGTGTCTATATTTTGTTTTCCCTGGCAAGTATTCGTGTTTACTCTGATTTTCTAATTATTTATCTTGAACCTTTTGAAATTATTGTTGCCTCTATTATATAATCTTCCTCATTCAGAGTGAAAGAGGACTTCAATATTTATATCTATGCAAGCATCATTAGTAAGCTGTGTATGTCAAATAAGAAGGAAAATAGATTCATGTGGGGTTCCCCTAGATGCTTATCTGCTGATTACATATTTCTCTTTTAATGCTTGCTTTCTGTTTACAGTACTTTGACATCTGCAGATTGAAAAATTATCCTAAGAATAGGCTTTCATGATGCCTTGTGAAGTAATTAACTAGGATAAAGGCTAACGTTATTAATCCTCATTTAAATGTTCACAAACAGTGTTTTATGGCATTATAATTTATGTTCATATCTTTCTGAAATTATTAATTTTCCTTTTCTTAGGTTCTTCTAGCAGCTGCTTGGGAGAGTTGACAGGAAAGAGTTTCCTGTTTTGCAAGAGTTTTAAACTCTAGATTTTTTTCATTCTGCATTTTTCTGGACTGTGTTTCCGAGACCTTTCAGAGTTGTCATTATGTGTTGGACAAGCCCATCCCAAAATAGCCAAGGGTTTGATCAAATGCATACGCAGGGCACTGGAATCTGTATCTTTGCTTGAGGCAAGCAGGGGTTGAGCTGCCTTCCATGTTGGTGTCTTGCCTGAACCATACGTCTTCTGACTGGTTGTGAGTGATGGTTGTGGATGTTATTTCCCTTTTAATTAGGCATCTGCCACCCCTGGGGGAGTGCGATGTGGACTCTGCCCCTATGGCTGGGACCCTGCAGAGCCAAGAGCTGCCGATGCATGTCCTTGTCCCAGCAAGTGACAATGCTGCTGAGCTCTGCTGCTTCAGGGCTGGATGAGCTTTTAAGGCCTCTGTGTGTGTGTGTGTGTATGTGTATGGCTTTTGTTTTGACTAGAAATTGTGTCTTTCCAAGCAATGCATATGTTGCTGTGGAAAGTTTTGCCTCTGACAAACGTTTTTCTGGCAAAAATGCAGTTTCACAGACTTTGGCATTTCTCTGCATTTCACACATAGTCTAAATTGCAACAAACTGCTATGCTGTATGTAACTGCGTGTATAGACAGCGCCCATCCTGTAAGGAATTTTCTAGCTTTTGTCCTCTTCACTACTGAAGTTTTCATTTCTTCTAACTAGTAACTTTTTCTTTAGAGTAGTAGACTGCATGAGTGGTGGTACCTGATAGCGTTACATGAAAATTGTTTTCCGGGGTAAGCTTTCCTTTGAAAAGGTTTGCAAGGAAATTAGGGAGAATGGGTGGATACAATGTGCTTGTGTTTCCACAACTTTGTTAAAAATATTCATTGTAAGACAGTGCCAAAAGAAAAAGAAAACACCACCCAAATGATAGCGAGAGAGATAATGAAATGAGATAAAATGTGGTTAAATGATAGCAAACAACTGTAATAGAAGGAATGTGATAGAAATAACAGATAAGCACTTGAGATCGGGTATGGAAGTCTGATTTAGTAATGTTAGCTCTCTGGGTGGGGGTCACGGGCAGTGATCTTGCCCCTTGCTGCTGCTTTTCTGCTGCAAGAGGCAGACGGTGAAACCAGGAACGTTACATGGTAAGATTGTGTCCTTGGAGATAGACAAGTTAAAGTAATGAGGAGAAGGGGCAAATCAGACAGATGGCTGTGGCTATTTATAGTGTGGTTTAGGACATTCGTTTCTTGCTTCAGAAATTGTTGATATTTACAGTTTGTTGGCTTTTAGATAACAGTCCTCTTGTTGGATTAAGTTTCTAGTTAAAAATCATTCTGATAGCTGGGTAATCTGTTCTTCACAGAAAAAGTAATGAGCAGTGAGTTGGTGAAATCAGTTATTAAGGTAATGAAAAACTCCTAAAGATTTGGTTTAACCAAGAAAATAGAAGTTAAAATACAATTGGAAGAAGTTCTGTATAATATTTTCAAATATGATGATGTGGGTCAAATTTCTGAGATTCGCTGTGAAAGATGAATTGGTAGAAGTGCTGTAGAAGTCTTCTATAAAATATTTTTCCCTTAAGGCAGATACTACAAAAAACCCCTGGTTAAATACCTGTCCACCCCAGAGAAGCAATAATTTTAACTTAAGTCTTTTATTTATATCAGATAAATCAAAAGAAAGCCAGAAGAAAATAAGCCATGGTCAGAATACTGAGGTGCATTTAGTTGGGAAAGATGGCACTAAATGGGTCTTGATGACTATCAAATATCCTTT